ACCATTCGCCCCCATCCAGCACTGAGGTCAAGGGCGAGTAGGAGCCTTTCCTCCCCTCTTCCCTCAAGCACCTCCACAGTGTGTAGCAGGGCAGCTTTACTTAAAGCATTTCACTGCTATGTTTTTCATGCCCTAGCAAGTGGTGAGAACTATGAAAAAAGCACTGAATAGCCACAGACTATGTGATACATCCATTCTTATTGTGTTTATTGTCATCTCTACTTTGTAACAAGTTGTCTGGGATGGATATGCAGACTCACTTGCAAAATATCACAGTAGATCAATCTTTGAAATGTGAAACAATTACATGGCAGGACCAACACCATACGGAAATACAAATAATTTTAGCAGAATCATTTAGAGTATTTTTAAGATCCTTGGCCACAGTGGGCCCAAGATGATGGCCCCTTGTAGCCATCGCTCCTGCAGCTAAATTCATTCAGTGGCTGAAGATTAAGCTTTATAAACTAATAGCACAAAGCCCTATATTAGCTCTAACATCCATCTTATATCTTAATTGCATCATGCTTGTGTTTCAATACAATACTTTTATTTTCCGTCGTTTACACAAGCTTATTGTTAAAATCATATAAAATTTCACATAAAATTGTTACATTTTAAAATTGACGACATGTTTCGATATACAATCTTATCATCAATATAAGCAGAGCAACAGATACACCAGATTTTAATTTTAATTTTGATAGACCTGACGATGATAAGATTGTATATCGAAACATGTCGTCAATTTTAAAATGTAACAATTTTATGTGAAATTTTATATGATTTTAACAATAAGCTTGTGTAAACGACGGAAAATAAAAGTATTGTAAATGTTCCTTGTTTCACAACCTGGCAACATCCATGTCCATTCTCCAGACTTATCTACATTAGTTCTAAGGAAATAAACTGTATAAAAATTGGAATTACCAGTCCTCCTTTTCTCTATCTGTTCTAGCAAACAGGTACAAACAATCTTCCATCACTTCATATTTATCAATGTGACAGAATGTTTCATCGTCACTCTCCTCAACTGGAATATCTGAAGTGTCATTAAGGTCTTTTACTTCAGATACTTGGTTATAAGTGTCATCTTCTTCAGGTCCTAGAAGAAGTATAAAACTTAATTGAAGTAGTATATAAACCTATGTTAATAGTTTATACTTTGAACTGTCACATTCTTTGTATTAAATTTGTTTAGTGAGGACTAAAGAGGGGTAGTCACGAATATTTTCACTTTTAGAACAGTAATTCCCATATAATAAATCATAAATACCAGCATAACAAAATTGAAGCAGCCAACATTTTGGAAGTTCACTACGTGTAAGTTTTGGTAAAGATGAACTTCAACAAATTCCTAAGATTTTCAGTCTTCCTCTGAAATTCTGCACATCTGACCATGAAACAAACATGCAGAGGCAACACTCTGAACCCCAAGGGTACTTAAATGACAAAATAAAAATATTATTGGTTCTATCATGCTTTTACAAACAAAGTGTTACCCATATTCCTATTATAATGCCCCCCCCCCCCCCC